CTATCCTCACCACCACGTCCCTCTCTCTAGCCTCTACCCTTCCACCATCTTCATCTTCGCCTCAACTTTCCTACCTTCCCCTCCTTCCTTTTTTTTTTACCTTCCTATCCTTCTTTTCCTACCTTATTCTCCTTCCCCCCCCCCACCACCTCCCTCTGTCCCCCCCTCCCTCTCTCTCTCTCTCCACCCATCTCTCCCCCTCCACAGCCCCTGACCTCGCACTGTGTCAACACCCAGCTGGTGATATCCCGGAAATATGTGTTGGTTGTGAGGAGGGAAGGTGAGGCTCAACCCCTAACTAACCCTAGCCTGCCAGCCCACGACGTCTTAATGCTTTTAACCCCCCAACACATAACCCTGTATAACACTCTCATATGTTGTCATTATCTCTCTCTCTCTCTCTCTCTCTCTCTCTCTCTCTCTCTCTCTCTCTCTCTCTCTCTCTCTCTCTCTCTCTCTCTCGTAAAGCGCAATACAATCCTGAAATAACACCTGAACGAATAAGATAAGACTTCATTGATACTAAGTTATTGTTGGAATTTCAAAAGCTAATTTTAATGTCACATAAACCCATAAATTAAGACATTACATCTGTTTGCTTAATACTCATACACGTATATCTGTATATGTATTTTTATTATTATTTTTTAAGTCGCCATACAACGTTGCCATAAAAGCGGAATAAAATAAAAACGAAATAAATTTACCTTCTCATAATCGACTTCTATTTACATTTGGGATATTCCTCTCTGTATCTCGTACTGCAATTTGGTGCGACAACTTACACAGTAAAATAGAAATAAGTTAGTTTCCCCTGGGAGGTCTTTTCCTGTCGTCATTACCAGGCTTTTTGTGTCGTGTGTGTGTGTGTGTGTGTGTGTGTGTGTGTGTGTGTGTGTGTATCCAGGAAACATGTTGGGATCTCTTCCTCACGTCTCCCGGTGTCATGTGCCCGCCTCGAGTGGCGCCTCCTGCAGGTTGATGGAAGGGCCTGAAGGAGGGAGGGAGGAAAGGAAGAAGGTGAGAGAGAAGACTGGTGGAAGAGGTAGGAACGAAGGAAGGGAACAATTGGTGTAGGAAGGAGGAACTGTAAGAGAAGAGGAAGGGGCAATAGGAGGAATTCATGTGGTTGAGAATGACAGAAGGTCGTCATTACCAGGCTTTTTGTGTCGTGTGTGTGTGTGTGTGTGTGTGTGTGTGTGTGTGTGTGTGTGTATCCAGGAAACATGTTGGGATCTCTTCCTCACGTCTCCCGGTGTCATGTGCCCGCCTCGAGTGGCGCCTCCTGCAGGTTGATGGAAGGGCCTGAAGGAGGGAGGGAGGAAAGGAAGAAGGTGAGAGAGAAGACTGGTGGAAGAGGTAGGAACGAAGGAAGGGAACAATTGGTGTAGGAAGGAGGAACTGTAAGAGAAGAGGAAGGGGCAATAGGAGGAATTCATGTGGTTGAGAATGACAGAAGGGAGGGAGGGACTGGTAGATGGAGGGAGGGACTGGTAGAAGGAGGGAGGGACTGGTAGAAGGGAGGGAGGGACTGGTAGAAGGGAGGGAGGGACTTGTAGAAGGGAGGGACAGACTGGTAGAAGGGAGGAGGGACTGGGTAGCGGATGAGGACTGGTAGGAGGGAGGGACTGGTAGATGGAGGGAGGGACTGGTAGAAGGAGGGAGGGACTGGTAGAAGGGAGGGAGGGACTGGTAGAAGGGAGGGAGGGACTTGTAGGAGAAGGAAAGGGGACGATAGAAGGTAAGAACTACTAGGTGGAGACATAACTCGTGGGAAGAAAGGAAAGTAATGGAAGACTTAGTTCTCTCCTGGCGGTGGTGTCACGTTACTTACCTGAAGGTGGAGGATAATCGTCACGGGATAAGGATATGCATAGTTTTTATCCCATCCCTTTACCCTCGCCACCCCACCCCTTTACCCCCACCCCCCCACCCCACCCATCACCCCCATCCCACCACCCCACCCCTCATTCTACCCCTCTCCCCACCCATCACCCCCTCACCTCCACCCATCACCCCCAAAAAGATTAGAAAACTAATAGAATTCCTTCCAGATATTTGAACTCATTTCCACCTCTGACCCTGAACTGGGATGGTCTACATGGCCGGAACTCACCTGATTATCTATAAAACTCACGCATTAATTCACAACACAGTAGACGAAAGGAAATGGAAAAAAAAAGAAGAAAAAACGTAAATTTATGCATCAGAACTTTGTGAAACGTTTTTGTGAATTACTAATGAATTGCTTACGACCATATGTAGAGCGAGGGGAAAAATGTGGTGGATTCATGGTAGTAGATAAGAATGTTGAATGTTGGGAAGGGGGAGAGAGGGGGGGGGTAGTGTTTAATGAGGTGGGATACTGTATGTTGATGTCCAGACGAGGTGGATAATGTTTGGAGTTTAGGAAGGATTATTATTATTATTATTATTATTATTATTATTATTATTATTATTATTATTATTATTATTATTATTATTATTATTATTATTATTATTATTATTATTATTATTATTATTATTATTGTTGTTGTTATTGTTATTGTTATTGTTATTGTTATTGTTATTGTTGTTATTGTTATTGTTGTTATTATAGTTGTTGTTATTATTATTATTATTTTTATTATTATTATTATTATTATTATTATTATTATTATTATTATTATTATTATTATTATTATTATTGTTATTGTTATTGTTATTGTTATTATTGTTATTATTGTTGTTATTATTATTATTATTATTATTATTATTATTATTATTATTGTTATTGTTATTGTTATTGTTTATTATTATTATTATTATTGTTTTTATTCCTGTTGTTAGTATTATTATTTTCTTTGTCGTCGTTGTTGTTATTATTGTTCTTCCAGTTATTATTATTGTTGTTGTTGTTGTTGTTGTTATGCACCCCTGTGATAAATTTGTCATTGTTACACACGATAAGCTCTATGCATATGTATTTTTCATAATTTCCCTTACAAAATATATTTCAGTATAAAATCATTTCCTCCTCACTCTTCTAGCATATTTCAACCCGATATGTTTCAGTAGTAGTCTTATTTCGCTTCCACTCCCGAATATATTTCACCGGGAATCAATTTCTTTCCTAATAAATACAGGGTTTTTTTTTTCTTGTATATTTCATTCTGTATATTTCACCACCAGCTGTTTCGTCGTTCATAGGAAGTCATTAATCTACTTCACTAGCAATACCACTCGCAATCCACTAATGCCCCGCATATACCGCGATATATATCCATCTTTATATATATGGTGGTGATATATCTCTTCCCTGATGTAGATTCTTATCGATATTCTTCACCACCAGTCAGTTTCCTCACCGATATATTTCGATATATTTCCTCCTCCAATATGTTTCCAAAGTATATTTCCTCAGCAATATACCGAGCTTCCCTGATATAGATCCTTCAAAGTATATTATTTTTCTTTATGGATATGATGTATATTTCACTCTCAATATATTTCTCTATCTTATATTGCCAAACTACGTTCTTCTTAATGTAACGATCACTATTGGTGTGTGTGTGTGTGTGTGTGTGTGTGTGTGTGTGTGTGTGTGTGTGTGTGTGTGTGGCGAGTGAATAAACAAACTCTCTCTCTCTTCTCTATTTCTTGACTCTCTTCCTTCATATCCTCTTTACTTTAGTTTCATTCTCTCTCCTCTCCCATTCTCATTTACATGTTCGCATTATTGTTATTTGTTTATTTATTTATCTCTCCTCCCATCTTCTCTTCCACCTCTTCTCTAACCTTGTCCTTGTCAATGATCAGGTGTAAAATAGGCACCCCAGCAGCAGGTCATTTCAATTGAGTGTTAATTACTCTAAGCATGACTTAACCTAATCTAACCTAACCTAAACTAAACCTGACCTGACCTGACCTTTCGTTACCCCTGACCTCCCACGCCTCACAGGTCAGACAGGGCTAGGTTGAGGGAAGGTGGATTTCCTGCCCTGTTTCCCCTTGTCCCTCACTGTTAGCCATCGAGGGGGGGGGGGGGGTGAGAGTAGAGATTATGGGGAGGGAGGAGGGAGGGAGGGACGGAGGGAGGGAGGGAGAAAGTTTAGAGAGAGAGAAAGTATGTGTAGGGAGGAAGGAAGGAAGGAAGGCAGAGAGAGAATTTAAAGAGGAAGGTAGGTAGAATAGGGAAGGAAGGAAGGAAGGAAGGAAGGAAGGAAGGAAGCTCGGTAGTGTATGTAGATAGGCGAGGAACGGCAGGAATAAGAGAGGGAGAGTAGGACGAACTGGAGATAAGAAAAGGGGAAGAGTATATAAAGGAATAACGCGAGGGAAGATAGGAAGGAAAAGAGAAATAGAATGACCTTGATCCACCATGATGGCTCTGATCCACCATGATGGCTCTGATCCACCATGATGACACTGATCCACCATGAAGGCCTTGATACACCATGATGGCCTTGATCCACCATGATGGCTCTGATCCACCATGATGGCCTTGATCCACCATGATGGCCTTGTTCCACCATGATGACCTTGATCCACCATGATGGAGATGGCACTAGGAAGAAGGATCCAGTGTTGATCACAGGCTCCTCCTGCCCCGAGGCTCCGATCGTATCCAAGAGAATCCCAAGACGTGACGCCAGGTTCCAGGAATTCACATCTTCAGAGAGGCCTGGTACAATGGTCCAGGGACGCCCTAACGCCACACCGGCCCGGGCGTCCCTTGAGTGTCCAGAGCACTACCCTCACACTACAAGTATAAATAAACAACAACTTTTTTTTTGCCTTCATTATGGAATCCATCTGTGACTTCCTGTGAAATACTGAAGGAGGCGCCGCCGACTCTTAGATTGGTGTACAGTTTTCCCCCCTTCAAGGACTCTGTTGAATCATGGGACACGTTCAGGCGAGGGGATTCTGCAACAGCTGAGGGGAACCTGGAAGTCTGGTCTTAATAAGTGAGAGGCTTTGTCCCTGAGAGAAGAGCTGACCTCAACAAAAACTCGTTCTCAGCTCACTGGAAGATCCTGAGAGGTGGCGAAGACTGGGGCCCTGAGACGTGTCCTCCTGTTACTGATGTGGCACTTCATGGTTGACGCTAATTGTGCTTCGGGTGTGCTTGATTCCTGCCTCACTTTCTTGGTCTTTTGCTTGATTCTTGCCTCACTTTGCTTGTCTTTGCTTGATTCTTGCCTCACTTTGCTTGTCTTTTTGCTTGATTCTTGCCTCACTTTGCTTGTCTTTTTGCTTGATTCTTGCCTCACTTTGCTTGTCTTTTTGCTTGATTCTTGCCTCACTTTGCTTGTCTTTTTGCTTGATTCTTGCCTCACTTTGCTTGTCTTTTTGCTTGATTCTTGCCTCACTTTGCTTGTCTTTTTGCTTGATTCTTGCCTCACTTTGCTTGTCTTTGCTGATTCTTGGCTTGTCTTTTGTGATTCTTGCCTCACTTTGCTTGTCTTTTGCTTGATTCTTTCACTTTGCTTGTCTTTTTGCTTGATTCTTGCCTCACTTTGCTTGTCTTTTTGCTTGATTCTTGCCTCACTTTGCTTGTCTTTTTGCTTGATTCTTGCCTCACTTTGCTTGTCTTTTTGCTTGATTCTTGCCTCACTTTGCTTGTCTTTTTGGTTGGTTGTTCTTGATGGTGAGGCTAAGTTTATGCTTCAGATGTGTTTGTGTTTACGTGTGACATCCAGTGCTTTATCATCTTAAGTTTCGTCAACAATTCGATTAATCATCATTTATTTCTACTTCCTTTTCGTTCTTTAGTGTTTTATTTTAGTTGGCATTATCCTCTACATTATCGTTTCTCTCCTTTATTGTCTCATTTCTCCTCTTCCTCTTTTGGTCACCTGGTTGATTGAGGCTCGATGGGCATTTGACCTTATCTCTCTCACCGTTCATCACCTCCTACCCCTCCTCCTCCTCCTTTCTGCTCTTCCTCCCTTCTCCCCCTTCCCGACCCTCTTAATTCCTGTCCATCCTCCCTCTCCTGCTCTTCTTGTCTCTCCATCCTACCCCTCCTACGTCCTTCCCTTCCTTACATTCTCTCCCTCTTCCATCACCCTCTGGCCTGTCATTCTTCCACCGTGCGGTTCTTTGGCCCGACTCACCCCTGCCAATGTTGTCTGGTCACCGTTCCTCACCTCCAGTCCCCCCCCCCACCCTTTGCCTCCTCTGCCTCCCCCCTACCATATTCCCCACCCCTGCCACTCTCCTGCCTTCCCTGCCACAGTGTTTACCCTTCCTTTTATTATCATCTAACCTCTCTCTTCTTCTCTCTCCTCCATCATCTACCATCCCCTCTTATTATCTCCTCCCTCCCTCCTCCCTAACCCCTCCCTTATCTCTACCCTCTCCTCCTTCAATCCCCCACCTACTCCTCCACTCTCCCTCCTTCACTCTCCTTTCTCTATTCTTCAGTCCTCCAACTCCTCTACCACTATGACCCTCCCCCCACTTCCCCCTCTCCCCCCTCCCCCCGTGGTGGTGAGAGGTGAGAGAGTGGGTGAGAGAGGGGTGAGAGCTCTCCCTCCCTCTCCATCTGAGCGCTGAGTCTTGCCATCTTGTCCTGATGGCTGATTGGGTATTGTTCTAATCTCCAGCAGCTCTTCTCGGCCATCCATCCCTCTCAGCCCAATCACGAATCACTACAACGTCTGAATCACCGAATCTTGAATCCTAACGACGTCTGAATCATCGACTTGCTGGCGAGGCGACGTGATGCTGTTTTATACTTGTGGGTGTGTGTGTGTGTGCGTGTGCGTGTGCGTGTGCGTGTGTGTGCGCTACATCCTCTCTTCCACACACACACACACACACGAATCAATCTCCAGTAAACAATAAACATTTATAGTGTAAATTTACATAAAAATCACCATAAACCTTGGAACAGATACTCTCAATAACCCTTCAAATGGCCGAGTAAATGGCAGCAGGAGTTTTTTAAAAGGCCTCGCCCCACCATAAAGGAAAAACTTTATTACTCAAACTATATTCTATGGTGATGTTGAGACGTGGACCAGGAGAAATGCCGAGCAACACTATTTCTCAGTCTACCTTCGTCGTTATTTCTATCGCTAGTAAGGTGAGAGATTAGACGTTACATTCACAGAGATTTTAGGGTATAATTTCTCTTGCTTTAGGTAGGAGGAGGGAAGCCATCTGGTTAGACAGTAAAGTCATAGAGCATTTTTGACGCCATTTACAACCTCAGATTTGAGATAGAAACCCCGATACTTAAAGATTCATAGACTATCATTTTATTTATTTATTTTTTATTTTTTATTTTTCTCACAATTCGGTGGAAGGTATAAAAGAATCAGGGTACAATATTACCGCCATTAAATTCGCTTCTATTGTGTGGTAGCTTAAGTGGGGCAGTTCAAGATACCTTCCTGGTGGGTCAGCCTTTTGTTGCCAGAAAATATTTAACGCAAGAGTTACTGAGAATCGTGGCGCTGATCTGGACACTGAAGCTGTGGGTGAGCATGGAAGGTTAATTAATTTTTTGGTAATTAAATGTGGGATGGGAGGAGGGAGGGGGTAGGAAGGAAGGGGATGTGGAGAAGGGGTAATATGGGAGGAGGAAGAAGGAGGATGCGGGTTTGGAAGGAGGATATAAGCGATAGGAGGGGGATATGGGAGAGGAGGAGGACGAAAGGGGGTGTAGGAGGGAAGGGAGTTGTGGAGAGGAAGGGGTGTGGAGTGGAGGATGTGAGGGGAAGGGATAGGGGAATGTGGAAAAGAAGGATTGTGGGAGATGGTGAAAGGGAGGTTATGTGGAAAGGGAAAATTGTCGAACATACTGACTATAGAAAGAGAGGGAGAGGATAAAGGGAAAGATGGGGAGTAATGGAAAGGGACAGGTGGAAGAGGAGGGATGAACAATAAAAATGAGAAATGGAACAGGTGGAATGAATAATACAAAGGGTGTGGGGGGGAGAGATGGGAAAGATGAACGGGAAGTAATGGAAAAGGGTAAAATGGGAACAGAATTAATGGAAAAGGGGGCGGAAGGGGTTTTGGAGTAGGTCGTCAATACCCATAATGGCCGACACAACAACTGGCCTGAAAATTGGTGGTGATTACGACCCTGAGTAGCTAACGGGTCGTATTGTGGAAAGGAGTCGTTTTGCTGGCTGACTGGTCGTACTGCTTTGCTGGCTCCAGGATAACCTTAACACCCCCCACCTTCCTCTGCGACAGCTTTACGCTACACTTGTGTACGATAACTTAACCCTTGTATACGATAACTTAACCCTTGTGTACGATAACTTAACCCTTGTATACGATGACTTAACCCTTGTATACGATAACTTAACCCCTGTGCACGATAACTTAACCCTTGTATACGATAACTTAACCTTGATATACGACATGACACCACGAGTACGATAACTTATCAGTATTGTTATTAATAAAAATCATTTAAAAAAAAAGATGTGGTAATTTTTTTTTATTCCTCATTAGCGAAAATATTCATTAATTGACAAAAACATTAATTATCTATTTTTTTTAATAATTCAGCTTTGACAAGAAACATTCCCACAATGTCTCGTTACAAAATTCAAAACATAAACATTATAAACATTATCTATGAGAGTATTTGTTTGTGTTTATATGTATAGATAATGTTTATTTGTGAGTCAGCAGGATGTTTATGTTTTTGTTTTTGTTTTTTGTTTTTTGCAATGTTTATGTTAGATGATTATTTGTAGATAGATTGACAAGTAGGTAGAGATAGGGATAGTTGGAAGATACATAGGTAAGTAGTCAGGTAGAGAGATAGAGATAGGTAAAGATAGGGTGATAGAGATAGGTAGATAGGTAGATAAAGATAGGGAATAGAGATAGAGAGATAGATGGAAACCCTGAAATTATAATTATAAGATTAATCCCTAGAACCATAAAACCAATCCCTAAAATCCCTAAAAAACCAACCCTTAAAACTAAAACTAATCCCTTAAACTATAAACCCCTCAATCCCTAAACCAGTAAAATCCATTCCCTAGCACCATAAACCTCCAATCCCTGAGGCAATAACTGTAAGATTAAACTGCAAATACACATCACAGCGAGAGGAGGAGTCTGGACCTAAGCAATACTCTCGGTGACAAACATCTTAACAGCTTGAAGTAAAAAAATAAATAAAAAAAAAACACACGCTGCCTGATATTGCACTTGCATAAACACACTTTTGCAATATTGCCTTAGATTAAGTCATAGCAGAGACACTGGTTGGCCTAAGTGGGTACTGAAGTGAGGTGTGGGGGTCCCTTTGCTGGGTAGGTGGTGTGGTGGTGGTGGTAGTGGTGATAGGGAGCTGTAGTGTGTGGTTTGGGTGATGGTGGTGATGGTGGTGATAGTGCTTGTGTCAGGTACTGGCACTACCAAGAGGGAGAGAAAGGGGGAGGGATAGAAGCAGGGGGTAGAATGGGTAAAAATTGAGTAAGTTAGAGTGGGGGGTGATGGGGGGGGAGGAGGTTAGAGGGGGAAGAGGTCTGTCTAAAAATAATTAATAACATCAACCACAATAAAGCAGAGAGGCCACACTAAACCACAGCAACAAGAACAGAGGAAGGGCAAAAAAAAACAATATATTTTCTCTAAGGATTTACAATATTTATTCGAGGGATATATATATATTTCTTTTTTTTTGAGGCATCGTATTGTCTTGACCCCGCTAGTACCCTGACCACTGAGGCGAAATACTAATGAGACTTATATGTGGATGACAGCCCAAGGAAACACACACACTCTTATAATGGTTACTTGATGACAATGATTGTGTTAACTCGTCAACTCAGTCTGGTCCACCTGATGAGTCGCTCCTTTTTAACAGTGGGTTGATAATGGCTCCACTTTTGACCACTTGTGTCCCTCGTTGTGGTGATTTTTATACAGGTAAATTTATATGGAAGTCTTGATGTGTTTGGTTAATATAAACTCACTGTAAGTATTTGTCTAGATGATGAATTGGCTCTTAAAATGGTTTACTGTAAAATACGTAATTCAACACGTTTTGTATACATGGGTGTTGTATACATAAGTACCGTGGGAAATGTAGACATGGGATTTTATGGATATCAGGAACAAAATTTTAGAATAAGGTCATATAAACGTTTATCTCTATAAGAAACAACGTAGATTTATGCACTCGTCGTAACCCTGATGGACGACAGATAGTGAGCCTGTGAGCACGGCCAAGGTTCCCGCGTAAAATTCATCACCTTATCTCCCAAATTCTGAAAAATGTCTTTTAATATATTCCCGCCGCCGCCTGCTCACACCCTCGCCCACCCAACACTTGGTCCTCTTAATATCAATACACAATAAGTAGCGTAAGCATCATAGCGTGGCGTCATATTCGCAACAAAAGACCTCTTAAAACCTTCATATCGGCGGGACAGATTCTTTATATAAGAGGTTCCAATTCCTTTCTAAGAGGGTCCGATTCCTTGTCTAGGAGGATCTGATTCTATATGTAGGAGGATCACGATGCTTTTATCAAGGAGACTTTGCTGCTGATCGAAGGAAGAGGAGGGGGGTGAGGGTGTGATGCTTTATCGAGGTGGAGGATCCGGTGCTTTATCTGGGAGTTTCCGATGCTGATCGTAGGAGGAGGAGGAGCAGGAGGAGGATCTGATGCTCTTATCGACGAGGGAATATGATGCCTGATCGAGGAGGCAAGAGCCTACATGATGGCGGAAGATTTTTGCAGAGTCGACGATTACGGGTGTCGAGGAGCTTTGAGCGGGCGGGGTGAGATGGACTCTAAGGGTCGTAAGATGAACGTAGCATAAACGTAAGATGGACTCAGGATGGGCAGTAAAGAGCGAGAAGTCTGTGTGTGTGTGTGTCAAGTGGGTATTATGGGCGAGACACAGGAGAGGTGATGGTGGCTCTTGTTAGTGTTTTGTCTAAATATGGCTCTGTGTGTGTGTGTGTGTGTGTGTGTGTGTGTGTGTGTATTCATATTAGCATTCTTACTTGTGATATCTCCACCTCCACTAACCCTACCACCGCTCTCGTAACACACACACACACACACACACACACATACACACACACACACACACACACACCAGCTTATCACCACCTCACCCAACACTCCCCCCAATACAAAAGGTTCGCCAGAAAAAATTAATCATGGCCGCTGGGTGTAATACTTTGTTGACTATCTGAGCTTCCTGGTGATCGGCGACGCCCGTGAGCATAACTAACCGATAACAGATACCTCAGGGAACCGGCCAGGTGGTGCCTCACGCCGCCACCACCACACCGATTGGAAATTTAAGCAGCGGGTCTCAGGTTATCAGAAGGTAATACGTCAAATTTATTTTCGCTTCACATACATCGTCTGACGCCTGATTGCACGTAATTTTTTTTTATTATTATCAAAGGTTATGAAAGTTATTTTTTACTTTAAATTAATCATGTGGGATGAACTTTACAGCTTAATTTAACTAAGGATGTGAATACGGTGGTCCAATTGGCGTCGAAGTGACTTTATTGGGTCAGATAAGGAGTTAAACTACAGTTAACCTTTATACCTCACCGTATTGCCCACAAATCGAGAGTTCTCAATCCTTTACTCTCAATTAATTGGTTTATCTTGTCGGCCATCTTGACTTTTTACCAGAACCTCGAGTCCTTAAGAGGTTCTATGGCTAGACTGGGGTTCTAGGAGAGATTTTTTTTATATTTATGTTCTCGATGATATGTAGAAATATGTCCCAGAGATCTGTTTATGGCTGGGTGGTTGGGACTGCACTCGACCGCCTATAATTCCCCAAGTGTAAAGTTAGGTTCCCGTTCACAGGTGCTGGGTGGACTGCTGTAGGGTTGGGTATAAGATTTTTTTTTATGCTTAACGTAGAGAGTTTTTATGGTAGGTTATGGTGACTGGTTGTAGTGTTGGAATAAATATTTCAGCTCACAGGACTAAAGACATGTTAAACCCCCAGGCAGTCAGTAAAGTCACCATAGACGTCACTTAGGTCACCATCACTAAAGTCACCATCACTAAAGTCACCATCACCATCGCTAACCTCACCATCACTATAGTCACCATCACCATCACTAACCTCACCATCATCACTAACCTCACCATCACCATCACTAACCTCACCATCACTAAAGTCACCACCACCATCGCTAACCTCACCATCATCACTAACCTCACCATCACCATCACTAACCTCACCATCACTAAAGTCAGTCACCCACCATCACCATCACTAACCTCACCATCACTAAAGTCACCACCACCATCACTAACCTCACCATCATCACTAACTCACCATCACCATCACTTCACCTCACCACCACTAAAGTCACCATCACCATCACCATAACCTCATCACCATCACTAACCTCCCATCATCACTAACGTCACCATCACCATCACTAACCTCACCATCATCACCAACGTCACCATCACCATCACTAACCTCACCATCATCACTAACCTCACCATCACCATCACTAACCTCACCATCATCACTAAC